TAAACCGGCTTATAGCAAAAACTTCTGCCGGGGAAATGCTCGAGAACGAGGACGAGACTACCTTGGCTTTTCCACACCCCTCAGCCGTTATTTTCAGAAGTGTGTGTTTGGCTACCTGACCGATAACCAAATGAAGCCGAGTCAGTTCAAGCAGAACTGTAGGTTCCTGCCGTTGGACAGGCGCATTGCACCCGTCATGAAAAAATCGTTGAATGCGCTAAAGACCATCCAGGCCCAGTCGAAGCTTAAACAATTGTGCGAAAAATTGGTCTAAGCGATGACATGCTTGTATTGAAATACGTTATAATTTATTTATCGGACAGAACCCTATGCTAAATATGTCGACCAGTTTATGAGTTATATGTTCATAAAACTGTTTGAAAATATGTTCTCGAGTATAACTGAACAATGTCAAAAGGTTGTGCAATCATCCCCAATATACCCTATACAGTGTTATCCGATTTCTCACCTGTCTTTAAACCATTTTGGTTGGTCAAAATATGAAATTTTAATGAAATTTAATGGACAAGTTTTCTTAAAAATTATGTGATTTACCGCTGAATAAGAATGCAATTGATTCATATCCCTAATGTATTGAATTCCGATTCTTTGGTTGACATTTTGCACATCATCTTAAATATTAAATTTAGCCTTTTCTATTGAGTTTATGTCAGATAAGTCTTATAGGTAATTCGTCGAATTGATAATATTAAATTTTACAATCAAGATTTGCCAAACCCTGAAAGTGTTTGACATGCTTTGATCCAAATTGCGTGTTGCGAGATTATAAAATGTTCGGTTACATTCGAACTTAGCTTTTCCTAACTTCTTTTTTAGACAGCTCGACCGAACAAGAAAATCTCCTAACTWATATTATTATTATAACTGTTTTATGCAGTCTTGCACTTGCACTGTCATCCGTCATAAACTTAACCAAATTTTGGTGTGTTTGGGAGTAAATAAAGGGTGGGTTTATCTGCATGGTTTAAGCAATTCCTTAAGAGGAATTATAATGGAATCAAAGTATCATCAGTTCATCGCAATAAATTGATGGGTATGACTGATATCGATTTGGGCGTCAATCCCAATACATGTGGTCTAAGAACCTAATCCCGACTCAAGACAAAGGCTTTTCATAATCATTCGCAGGCATAAATCTGATTCTCAAAACACGAAAAACGTTTACTACAATTTTGTGAAGTATCTTGAACATGACAAATAAGTGATGATATAAAATTTAATAAATTCGCATCCACCGTAAACACCAGATTTGATTCCCATTAACTTTTTCCTGTTCTCAGATCTGTAAAGAATGCTCGCTGGCCAGAAATTTTCGTTGGATGAAGAGATGATTGCCGAAACTGTGGCCTATTTTGTAGTAAAAGTCAAATCCTACTATAAAAATGGTATCGAAAAGTTGGTTGGTATCACCCTTGAAGGAAAGTTGTCAAAAAATATGCTTGACTATGCAAGCCGGAAGGTGTTTGGCTGCGACAATTGCCATCAGACTCAGAGAGTGTAGGTTCCTAAAAGAACACGTGTCTGATCACTCGAATCGCCAAATCGAGCTCTGGTGGCTCTTTCTATGCCCATACATCGGCGAAGGTGTTATGGATGGGAAGAAGCCGTTGGAGGAGAGGGGCAGTGAGCTCCTTCACGGATGAGTCAAAGCTTGGGAGGGAGGTTAGTGGAGGGGTTTACTGTCAGAAGCTATCTATCAACTCCAGTTTCAGACTTCCTGACTATTGCAGTGTCTTCCTGGCAGAGCTTGTAGCCATTAAGGTAGCAGTAGATTTATTGCCCCGGATTGCAGCCTCTTTCAAATAAGTAATCATACAGAGCGGCGATACAAGCCTCGAACCCATTAACAGCGCATTCAGGGCTGGTCAACTTCGTATAGATGCCCACGTTCGATCTTTGATCAGCCATCTAACCTAACCTATGGTAAGCCGGAGGCTTTCATTAAGCTGTTACAGCTGTTGTCATAGAAATTTCTATAAAATAAAAAGAACACACTTCTTCCATTGATAAAATGTATATGTTATGAGAACAAAAACAACTACAAGTAAACAAATATTTACTAAAAAATACTGCATATATATGTACAAGTATAATGCACTATATGCGCATGCGCTGTAACTTTTTTTCCAGCATTCTAAACATCATTTACTTAATATGTACGTATGTATATATGTAAATCTAACCTTAAACCCACAAATCATTTTTCGCGCTGTTGTTGACTTAACTGTCACCGCTGTTGCTCGCTGCTCGCTGCAGTCCATTAAGTTGTTATAATCAAATTATTTGCGCTAACAGTAATTTCACATGTCACACAAGCGCCGTTTTTTAACACTGATTGCAGCTCGTCCAAACGACAATAACACTACCGTTTTTTTTACACGTTACATTTACATTTTACAAAGCCAAATTACTCGCCATCAATCCACATACGGATGCTACATGCACGAACATATGCGCCACCACTGAGCTATAAGCCAAGCTGTGCCAACGAAAAAACTCTATGGAATTGGAAATCAAACAAAAAAGCAAGGTGACATGCCTTTGAACGCCTGGAAAATCCATCAGCATGCGCCTAATGAAATATGATTTCTATTTTCACTGCCTTCGCCTTATATGAACATTAGAGCGGATCGATTTTGTTTTACTATCAAAACGCGTATGATTTTTTAATGTAAGAAAAAGTTACTACGGATCTTTCTGAAGAACTTTGCTTAATAGACTATCGGTCTAAAACCGGTTTCGAGGCAGCTAATTTTAAAGCTAAGTTTAAAAAAAATTGAATAATCGGTTGTATGGATGATATCTGATATAGTTTTGTCCGAGCTGATTCATTCCGATAAATGTTCAATGGAATATCAAAACTTATCTACGTATTAAATTTCACTCGGATATCTCAAAAAATGACGAATACATTTTTATGATTTCTGAAGAACTTTGCTTTTAGTCAGAATGATCCATAAAAAATTTCCCACTTAAGCGATTTTTGAATTTTTTTGGCTTTCCGTAAACCAATCTGCTCTAATGTACAAGGTTTCTCCGGAAATTAATAGGACTGATTTTCTTCCGTCGTGACTGTACTTCGGAGCGTGTGTGCACCGACTACATTCGGTAGAGGTCGTTCCTAGCTAACGAACGAGCGGCTGGTCAGTTGTTTCCGAATACCCGCAAAGACAGCGCAAACATTTTCGCCCGACGTGTTTTTTGTGTGAGATGCAAGCCGAAAATGCAGCGTTCGTTAGAGCAAAGGTGTGTTTTGTGGCACCAGGCCTTTTTGGAGGGCCGGGAAGAGTTCACTGACGAAGACCAGAAGAATAAGCGAATTCAATGTATAAACAATGCCCATTTTTTGGCATCAAAGGCATCGTCCACCATGAATTTGTTTCTCCTGGACAAACCCTCAACGCCAAGTTTTACGTGGAAGTCTACAACAGACTCAAACGAAGGATCTATCGGGTGCGACAAGACATCGCAGCCGATTGGAAGTTCGACCACGACAACGCTTGGCTCATACCGCCTTTCCTGTGAACAGCTAACAAAGGCCGTCATTCTAACGCTACTGCAGCCGCCCTACAGTCCAGATGTGGTCGTCCGGAATTTTTTTCCTTGCCTAAAAAGGCCGATGAAAGACAAGCATTTTGAGACGACAGAGGGAATCCATCCAGCATGCACCTCGGCTCTCAAGGCTTTTCCGCAGAGTGCCTTTCGTGACGCCTTCAATGGTTGGAAATCGCGCTGCATCGACACAGAAGATGCTTATTTTAAAAGTTTTTAAAGAATTGCAGCGATTCTTTCAATAATTTCGGACAGACCCTATATAGTACACTTTTCCAGAAAACTACTGTCAGTATTTTGGTCTATTTGGAGTTACCTCGTTTTTTGAACCGTGTGTGGAAGTGTGTGAGACCGGAGAATGTAAAAAAATGCAAAAAGAACAAAACAGGTTAGTGATTTTTTTCCGATTATTGGTAGAAGCGCTTGATTGCTGTATACAGTTGCTCTCGATAACGATCGTAAAAAATTGATTTAATGAGTTTAAAATATAATTACAAGTCCGTTTTTGATGAGACACATGCAGATACCTTAAAAACGGCTACCACAGATGATAATAATCAGTTAGTTGAAAATGTGCGAGATACTTTAGCCAATAAGAAAATTAAAAGACCGTGTGGGCCCTTACTGATCACTACGTTCTACAAGAGCAACCGCGAGTCTACTTCAAAGCGGCTTAAAAGCACCATTTAAACGGCATCAGTTGTAAATTCTATGCTATTTCGTGATCGTCGATGAAATATGGATCTACTGTCACACAGCAGAAAACAAGGAACGGTCGAATGTTTAAATAGAATGCCGTGGCTGTCGGTCATGGCTGGGTCAATTATATCGGCGCCATGAAGATATACTCCGCAGTCTTCTAAAAATCGCTTTTTTCACTCGGCTTAAGAGCTTGAATATCTCTGGAGCAACCATAATGAACCAAAAGGAGACTGTGTTAAGAAATAAATGGCCATTTTTTCGAATATCTAAATTTCCTTTTGTCGATTAAATAATTACCACACCTACGTCGCATATATGTATGCATTAACAGTTGGGAGGATCGACCGATCAAACGACCCACGCTTGGATTATATTGAGCATTATTTCTTAGTTGTTATTTTTCGTTGCCTGACCGAGCAAATTATCCGCGAGCGTATACCAATGAGCATTTCCACGAATTGTTTTTCCCCAGCCATGCATTTATGTTCTTATTGTAGTTTTATTTATGTAGGTGTATCGTTTTTTTGCTTACCTTTTTGTGGACACATATTAGTCGCTCCAAATTGAACATTATAATTCATATAAAATTAAAATGTTTCGAATTATGGCGAGCAGTTGACTAACGCGACTTGTCGAGTGGATTACGTTTGTGGCTGACGAATAAGCGTACAGAACTGCAAGTGATTTCAGACTGTATTATTATTATAGTTATTCATAGTGTATGACAAAAAAGTGTTAGCCACACTCATACACATACATATAGTGTGTGTTTGTTCTACAAAGGACCTCCCCTCGAAGGATAGTTACATTTATATTCGCAATTTCAATTGACGGAAAAATGCATTTCCACTTCAATGAATTCGTTTTTAGTTCCCTGCTGTGCATGGTGGCGCTTTTGGCGGATTACTTTCATGGCGCACATGGCTTATCCACCGTTGATACGGTACGTCGCTCTGCAGGATTTACATTTAGTTCGGTGAATGGCAGCAACGGTGGCAACGGTAACATTCCTGGAACAACGCCGGCAACAGGTGATACAAGTTTTCAAATGCTTTCTCGTTTGGGCTATGTGAAAGTTTTGTGAAAATTTTAAATGCAAAAAATATACAGCAACACCACTTTATTTTCTGAAAGAATTTTGTTCACAGTGAGTTTTATTTAAAAAATTTAAATTATTAAACATCGGTGGTAGATAAAATTTGGGTGGATGTGCGCGTAGCGATTCAAGTTTAAATTTTCCAAATGATTAAAAACGGTTTCTACGTAATTATCCCTTGCTGAAAACCCAGAAGTTACATGGAGCTAAGTCAGGCGAATACGTTGATTGGGACAATATATTGATTGAAAATTTGGCGTAAAATTCACGAAGAATCAATGTATTCGACGGTGCTTCATCCTGGTGCAATAACCATAATTCGGGGCCTCTTTCTACGAATAGCTTCGCGCAAACGACGCATAACACTCAAATAATATTCCCTCTTGACAGTTTGGCCGGTCGGAAGGAGTTTGAAGTGCAACGCACCTCGATAATCGAAGAAATTTTTTTTTGACCTGCTTTGACGTCGTCAATGCTTGTCAATTTTCAATCACCAATTCCTTTATTTTGATGACATGTTAATCATCAGTTAATGTTGGTGGCCGTGCTGGACGTGGTTCGTCGGCTACGCGTTCTCGACTCTCTTTTATAATTTGTACCAATCAAAAACACTTGCTCACGTCAAACAATTATCACCGCAGGCCTTTTCGCGCAAACTTTAAATTAAAGAGTCTTACTATTTTTTCTCATTGTAATAAAAAAATTTTATATTCACATTTTAATAAAAAATTACGTATCCTAAACCTAATCACCTTGTTCAAAAGGGCCTCAACGGTGAGTGTTAATTCTAAGAGCTTGTGCTGCCTCAAACAGAATAAAAGTCCCTTTTGTCTAGCTTTGCATCGTTTTTTAAAAAATGGAGGATGTGTAAAAAAAATGTAATTTTAACCGAAATTGTGAAAAATAAATAATTACATAATTACTATACAACTTAAAGTTAAAATATAAAACCTGAAGTTAAGTGAATATGTGCGGTACATAGTCTCCGAATACAATCTGTTCAGTTGAGTAATGCAGTTTCGAGAAAAAGGCGTTTAAAATTTTAAGTTCAGAGTTCATTGGACAGAACTCTTTAACACTACAGCGGATTGGACAGAAAAATCGTTCACAAAATTCTTCTATTTGAAAAAAGTTTTCAGAACTGTAATGTGTACTTTCTATACTACCATAGGACCCGCCCACGCTTCACTGTGGCTGAAACATATATAATACGAGTACTACTATCTATATGATTTCTATTAGCTGGATTATAACTATTAGTTAATGAGATATAGCATTTTTGTGAAGCAACTTGTGTTAGTTTATAAAAAAAAAATGGATCATAAAGCATTTCGTGTGTTAATAAAGCATAACTTTTTGGAGGAAAATACTGTTGAATTTGGGCGCAGAGAAATCCACCGTTGAAAAGATATTTGTTAGGCTGGAAACAGGCGAAATGAGCACGGGCGACAATGATGCTCTAATGAGGCGAAAGCTCTGTGCAAAGTGGGTGCCTCGAAAATTCATAATCCAACAAAAACAACGAATAACTGATTCTGAGAAGTGTTTGAGTGCTCTTTGAACATAATAAAACTGAATTTTTGCATCGGTGTGTGACAATAGAAACATAGCTCCATCCTTTCTCACTGAAATCCAATCGACAGTCATTCTAGTGGACTGCTAATGATGAACCGGTTTTCAGGCGTGGAAAGACGAAAAAATCGGCTGGATTACTGAGCCAGTTATAATATATTTTACTGCGTATTTGGTTGCTGTTCTTTTGTGCTATTCCAAATACTTAGCAATTGTATTGGTTTTGAGGAAGAATCTGTTTAAAATTGTACGCATATATACAAAGGATTCCTACAAACATGAATTTTGAACAAATGCATATGATTTGAAATATAATTTTTGTATTTATGACTTCCCATGTCCTTACCCTGGTTCTAAGCTACCTTCACACCAATTTTCAGTCAAATCCGTTCACCCGTTCTTAAGTTATAAATGGTATTACTGACACGGGTTTCTTTTATACATATACTTACACTCGCATAAGATATATTTTTTTGATTTTTTAAAAGTGTTATAACTACTTAAGAATTTCGAAAAATCAATTCTATTAAGCCTTTGCCCTTTGCTGTCCCCTCTTAGGCGCATTCAAGTTGATTAGTGATTACGGTGAATTGAATTATTTCCGCGCAATTTTTGATACATGCATGTTTCCCTGCAGTTTTCTCTTGAAATAGCACAAATCAAAACACTAATTGGCCAATTGAGGGGCGATTTTCGTGTGTCAAGAACGCACCCACCCACATCTTCTGAGGACAATAGATTAGTTAATTAATTATATATTCCAGATGTAGGGCGAAGAAAATAAGAATATGGGGGCAGCCGACTATCAAATTATTATTGTCAAACATGCACCAACCAGCCAGCAAAGTGGGAATGTTTTAAAATGTATCATATTCTACAAAATAACCAATTTATATCAGTCCAATATCATTATAATACGTTACTTAGTTTTAAAATTATAATAAGTTATAAGAGGGTTTCCAAATGTTTGTTTCTGCCGTAAAGTCGCGCTGAGTAGCTGATAACCCAAAATCGTGCTGAGTGCAAAGGGTTAATAATTTGAACGAGGTTTTCTCGAAACACTGTTTTTAGACTGATTAGCAAATTTCCCAGAAAGGACTAGACCGATCTACATGAATTCACCCTATCTTCTTATATGCATATATTTGTAAGGAATAGAAGTAAGAATAAAATCTTGGATAATAATTTCGATGGTTTTAAGCCTCTCTGAAGTGACAAAAAAACAAAACGCTTAAAACAAAAAACGCTTTATGGTGTTTTGCGAATATATTTAGTATTTTTTGTTAAGGATTTATGGATATTATTATATAGATTTATTATTATTATATGTTCCTTTAAATAAGAGTGGATTTAGATCATCTATTGAAAACTATAGGCGAATAGTTGTCTGCAATACCTAGACTTTTTAAAGCAATTATAAGAGACGACATAACGCCACTTCCGGATCTCTCCACTAATTTTTTGTTCTCAGCACGGTTTTCGTAAAGGGAAATCTACAATAACTAATTTGCTTGAATTTGTATCACATGTATCAACGGGCTTTAGGAAGAATAAGAACACTGATGTTATATATATAGATTTTAGTAAAGCTTTTGATAAATTATCCCATTCAATTCTTTTGAATAAACTTGATCTTCTTGGTTTTCAACCAATATTTCTAAAATTGGTTGCTTCTTATCTTAGYAAYAGAATTCAACAAGTCATATTTAACGATACTCTTTCCGACATAATCAATGTTCCTTCAGGCGTTCCTAAAGGTAGCCATCTTGGCCCAATTCTGTTCTTGTTATTTATTAATGACATATCATCTGTTGTTAAGTTTTAAAAAGTTTTGTTATATGCTGACGATGTAAAACTTTTTAAAACATATACTTCAAACAGCGAAAGATGTGAGCTGCAAACCGACTTAAACAACCTAGTTTCTTGGTGTGATAGAAATGACATGCCATTGAATCTTAAAAAATGTAAAACGATGTGTTTTTCACGTAGATATGTAGACCCTACTTTATACGCAATACAAAACTTTAGGTTGGAGCAAGTATGCAGTTTTGTTGATCTAGGAGTAACTATGGACCTCAATTTTAATCTTCACGTATCCTCCATGGTTTTTAATGCTAAAGGCGCTCTTAGTTTTGTTAAACGTTGGTCTAAAGAATTTAGAGATCCGCTTACCACGAAAATTCTTTTTACATCTTTGGTGAGGCCCATATTAGAGTATGCATCTGTGGTTTGGAACCCTAGTTACCAAGTCCATTCGGATAAGTTAGAGTCTGTTCAAAAACAATTTTTTCTTTTTGCCTTAAATCAGTTGCATTGGAATCCCACTTTAAATCTTCCCGCTTACACTAATCGTTTAAAACTTATAAATCTCCCGACACTTGCTAGTCGTTGGGAGATGCTTGGTATAATACTTTTTGTAAAACTCATGAATGGGTCAGTTTGTAGCCCATCTCTTTTATTTGATAATAATTTTTAACGTTCCCGTTCGCTCTACCAGGCAGTTTAGACCCTTACTTTTAAAATTTTCTAGAATAAATTTTGAGCTAAACGAACYATTCCGCCGCATATGTCATGATTTCAATTCTCATTCCAGCACATTTGATCTAACAGACTCACTCTTTRCCATTAAAAAAATTATTTTATCTACTCTTAACAAATAACATTTAAAAATTATAAACTTTAATTCTAGTTCTTATTTTTGGCTGTTCAAATTTTTGTTTCTGTAGCTGAGCAGCTTAAGATCGCAACGCTTAAAACTCTCTTGCCTTTTATGACTCGGCTATTTCCGCTCGTTCGCGGATTGCGCCCCTCGCGTCGGTTGGGTGGGAGGAGGGTAATCGTTGGGTATTATATCTATAGCAAATTTGACTTGATCAATCTGACGTTTTCGATCTAAATTTTGTTCAGCGATGAGGTCAATTTCTGGCTCAATGAGTGCATAAATAAGCAAAATTGTGACATGTGCGACGAAGAGAAACCTGAAGAGATTCAAGGGCTGCCATTTCATCCCGAAAAAAACACGAATCGGTAGAATCATCGGTCTTGCAAATATTCCCCAGCTACAAAAGCATAAAGTGTTCGGTTTCAACCGGACTTAGCCCTTTCTTACTTGTGTTGTTTTTAGAATTACTTTTCACCAAATGTAGTTCAAGTTAATTTCCTAACTAAAATTACATTTACTCCTTTCAAATAACAGTTTTATCACGACAACTAATAGTGGGCACCATACCGCAGCTTACGTTCCCGTCTATTACCAATTCGTATTGTATTTGCGTGCCTCCAGGTTCTTGTCCTAATCCCTTGCCAACAGCACCGACGGACGGCAGTGGACAAATCGACATACGCATCGTAAATAATGTAAGCAAGTAAAGCGGACTTACATACATTCTTATATACATACATACTTATATACATAAATTCTTATATACATACATACTTACATATATACGGCTATGCAAATTAAGACAATGTTATTTCGTTAATCATTAGGGAAGCATTGCGACCACAATAACACCCGGTACTTGCAACTATGGACTTCAGCTCTGCTGTCAGGCTGGGTCATACCAATGTGGTTTGAGCTATCCGCCACCGCCCGGAAGTTCAGCTGCTGGTGCAGGTCAAGCGCAATTCGGTGAATATCCCTGGGTAGCTGCATTGCTTACCACAGCCGAAGTATATTTGGGTGCAGGAGCGCTAATCACGGCACAGCATGTGCTCACAGCCGCCCATAAAGTTTATAATATCAGGTAAGGCTAAAGCGTGTAACTGTTTTTTTTATGTTGTCGAATGCGTCGATTTTACACGTTCTCTTATATATTATTTGCTGTTGTTTTTTCTCTGCATAGCACGTCTTCTTTCAAGGTGCGCGTTGGCGAATGGGATGCAGCAAGCACCTCCGAAGTGATACCCGCACAGGATGTAGCCATTGCTAGCGTTTTTATTCACCCGAATTTCAATTCGGCCAATTTGCAAAATGATGTCGCCATCATAAGGCTCGCCTCGCCCGTCTCACTATCGACGAAGTCCACGGTGGGCACTGTCTGCTTGCCAACCACCACGTTTGTGGGTCAAATTTGCTATGTGGCCGGTTGGGGTAAGAATGATTTTGGGCCGACTGGCGCTTATCAGGCTATACAACGTGAAGTCGATGTGCCGCTCATTACGAATGCAGCTTGTCAAACGATGTTGCAGGCCACGCGGCTCGGACCAACTTTTCAACTGAATAACAGTAGCTTCATTTGTGCTGGCGGTCAAGCCGGCAAGGATGCGTGTACGGTGAGTAAAGTGGATAGTGGTTGAGACCTAGCGTGCGAACGAAGTTTTTCCAACACGTAATGCACTTAATTATGGTCATATATATATGTATATACATATAAATATATGTTTTTTTTTTTAATCTTTACGTCGCACAGGGCGATGGTGGTGCACCGCTGGTCTGCCAGAACAACAATGTATGGTATGTGGTCGGTTTGGTGGCTTGGGGTATTGGCTGTGGTCAAGGTGGCGTGCCCGGCGTTTACGTAAATGTAGCAACGTATTTGGCGTGGATTCAAACAGTTTTAGCTTCTTCGTAATTGGTGACCAAATACCATTCGGTTTGATATTACGTAGCATATAGAATAACCACAACGTATGTGGTCGCTTAATTAATTGCATAATTGTCTGTTAACGTTCTCTGTGTTATTTCATAAAATAAATAATTATATTTAGGTTAAACATAACCTTGGATCGATTTGGAAATTCAATTTTGTGTGTGTTTTAAAGAAACCTACTTTAAATAAATATTGATCGTAGTTTGCCAAAGGTTGGTTTTCAGGCATTTCAATCCCTAAAATGAGAAATATCACTTCTGAAAACCTTGAAAAGGGTTTGGCGGTTTCCAATATCAAAAGGGGGTTCAATTTAAATAAAGTATACGGCTTTATATTCGCAACTTGAAATCACCAGAAATCGGTGTTATATTTTAGCACTGAGTAAATACCAGGATCAATCAGCTCGTAAAGCTGTTTCAATTAGGCTGTAAATTGATTCAATGTCTATAATTTTATTATCAATATCTGGGGAATATATTGGGTGGGGTGGAACTTCCTGTTTAAGCATTTTCACGTAGGTTTTAACGGGTTTGTCAACGCGAGGCCGTGTTTTGTCATGCAGCAGAAACACTTTTCCGTGCCTCTCCTGGTATTGAGATCATAAGGATTCCAAGTTTCTTATTGCATTTTGATACGGATCCTCAACAAGCAACATCTCCAATTCACTGTCATGGAAGGTTTTTTGTTCTTCCTTCACGCGGACGGTTATTAATATCAAAATCGTCGTTTTTAAAGTGACGAAACGACACGTTGCTCATTTGCGGCAGCACTTGCGTAAACTTTCCGGCCTATTTTTTCGAATAGCATCGCGCAAACAAAGCTATTGACAGCTTGGCCGATCGGAAGGAATTTGGAGCGCACCACATTTCGATTATCGAAATGCTCAGTCTTGCTACGATTTTTGGCCGATTGAGCGTCTGTTTCCGGGTCGTAAGCATATGCCCAAGACTCATCGCCAGTAGGTAGGTGGTAGGTAGGAGTACAGCCCTGTTAAATTTCGGACTCATTTAGCACCAGCTGTGTTATTTTGAAGCACTACTCGTAGAAATTTTTATTATTGCTATCACGTTTCATCTTCTCGTTCAAACCATTTTGTGGTTTCGATAAAGCTACTTATGTCCGATATGCTTTTTGTAGACATCCATTCATGGTTTGATGGACTCCAACTGTTCTATGTCGAATCTGCGATAGGGCTAGACATTAACAGAGAAAGTGGAAAATTGTTTTCTTTTTCCCTGCTAGTTCGCAGTCTCGCCATATTTTATAGTAGGACATACCAATTTTAAACGCATGTTCTCCAAATGGCCCTGTTATATTAGCAGTTAATATGTTTCTTGACATCTTGGTAGTCGAACGCTGTTTTTCGAAAAAAAAATTAAGTAATTTTGGAACCTCTCTTGCTTTCACTTTTCTTAGGCTGAAATGATATTTCAAAATGGTTTTCATTGATACTTCCGATATTCCAACGATACCAGTAAGATCTCTGAGTGTTAGGCGTCGCTTCTCAGGCACCAATTCCTGCATTTGATTGGAACAAGTATCACCGAAGGCCTTTGCCAATATTCTGAACATTTCCGCACCAGAAATTTGATTCCGCGCACAAAATTTAGTTTTGTTTGAAATTTTAATTAAAAAGTTTTACTATTTTTTGCCCACATAATTTAATGCACTAAATTTTCCACTTTAATGCACTAAATGATAAACATGGTTTTTGGATATTGGAATATATTTTTCGTCACATTGTTTTATTACTTTACTAAGTTCCAAGTAACTAATAAGAGGAATGGTTTCAATAAACATATGTATTTTTCTATCGTAAATTATGTGAGCGAAACACGTTTTTCATGAGAACTCCAGTTCACTGTTATATACCAAAAATAGAACCACTAAAAAGATCCTTGGCATAATTTAATTTTCGATTATTCGGAGACAACTGCAAATTCCAAATAATTTTGTGGCACAAATTTTGAGGTTAATTGAATTTGTCACTATTATATTCTGCGAAATAGAATAAAATAAATGCGTAAATGCATATAATTACCTGCATTAGTACAAAAAAAAAAACCCCTTAACACAAAGCCGTGGATGAATAAACACAAAGCAAACAGTAAAATGCAAACGACGGCGCATAAATGGCCGACAATTTATGTGCACGAGGTGGCAGAGCATTTAACTGAATATGGAGAATGCGAAGTGCGGCAGTAAAAGGGACATTAGCATGTCGAATGGAATGCGTGTACCAACAGGTGTGTCGCTGAAACGCAGTTGTGTGCCAGCGGCATACAATGAGTAGCATTTTTTCGCTCTTGGGTAATGGCAAATGGGCCCACTTTAGCGAGTTTCTACAAAAATTTATTATTTGCAGATTACAAAGCTACTTTCATTCTTTTGTGTGTGTGTGTGTGTGTGTGTGTGTGTGTGTGGATAAGCTTGAGTTGTTGTCATAAGCCTCAACAATTTAATTTGCTAATCATCTCTTAGGTTTAGTAGCTGGTTAGACATTCAAAGACACAAATGGTGGATACATTAGTATTTGTAATATCTGCTGAACCTTATTTGTACGCTGGGCAGAATTTCAATCCACTTCCTGATGGAATTTGCTATATACATATGTATGTACATATATGTTTATAATACTTTTAGTGGAGTTTCATAAACTGGCTTTCTCTAATTCCGACTATTACGACTAATACTTAAGGAAGTTTTACAATTGTTTGTTATATTAGACAGGGCTTATTTAAGTATTTTTTAAACAGAACTACTCTTCATGGTATAAATATTTTGTGTTAAAAATTATTGAATATTGTTTTTTATATTACGGGATTTGCCAATACTATTGTTGCAATATGGAAGCTCACAATTAACAGTAAAGTTTGACATTTGGTATGAGAATGCCGAAAAGTGGAATTAAATTTCGAACATTATCGATGGAAAAGTTCTTTCAACTTTCGTCTTGAAATAACTCATCAAGAGTGCATAGATGAACCTAATTAAATTTTAAGAGAAGAAGCTCCATCAAGCACTAGTGTTTATCGATGGTACGGTGAATCCAATCGAAGTCGTAGATTACTCCAAGCCGAATTTCTGGAAGGTCGTCCAAAGTCAGTTGTTGTTCTGAAAACTATTGATGCTATGGGCAAACTGATATTGCTAGATCGTCTTTTAACCCATCGTGACAAGTCATGGATTTACGCATAGGAGCGCGTGGCTGTCGATTGTGTGGGTATTTCAGAGAGAGCCGAAGCATTTTTGAGCAGTCAAGACATCGATTTGATGACCCATCCTCCGTATAGTCCTGACTTTGGCGTCGACTGAGTTATGTTTTTTCCCGCTCGTAAAAAAATAAACTAAGACGTCAACGTTTTTCGACAGCTGAAGCTCCTCTTCATAATGTGTTCAAAAGGTGTGTAGCTCTTCAATGAGAGAATGGTAAAATTGCTTCAACAGTTGGTTCAAGCTCATGCAAAACTTTATTGTGCTTAATGAAGAATATTTTGAAAAACAATAAAGCGATTTTCGATGATTTTGTTTTTGTTCTCGACTACAGAAATATTCATGAAGACAAAAAAGTAACCGAAAATTGTATTTAAATTCCTCGGGTAAATGTTATTCAAACAAATTTATTTTGTTATGTCAGTAGAAATGTTTTTAATTACTACGCCAAATATGAGCACGATCTGTCAACCCGTTTGTTTACAGTAGCTGGTTAAGTCGGTACACCTCAGGAGTGTGTTACAATGGATAAAAATATCAAACAAAGAATTTTTCCCAAATTGCGAATCTTGGCAAAAACTTGCGGTGATTCAGTTTTATCAGAAACATAAGCCTACAAATACGGCCGAGCGATCGTTGAAGACTTGAAGACATGTCGCGTTCTGGACAATCTTCAAACTCTTCAACTGAAGAATATGGTGCTCCGAAAATAATCGTCAGGCAAGTGTTAGAGAGATGCAGCTATATCGATTTCAATTTTCACATGTCCAGATATTGATCGAAGGTATAAATGTTTGATATAGATTTTTTAAGATCTACTGAAGTGTAAGGTTTTTCACAAAAAAAAAAAAAAACTTTTTGTTTGAAAATCCGCCATTGTTTTCAAAAATCAAAATTTTGACTAGTTCTGCGATTTTTACTTGCATTATTCTATAAATATAGTAATTTATTTGGGTTTTTGGATTAGAAACAGAAAAATTTTGAATATTATATAAAGCACAAAGACTTTATTTCGGAGGAATCTCTAGAGAAAATTTTCAAAATTAATCACCGATTATTCAAATGTATTTAATTTCATAAATGCATGTTATTCTTATTTTTTATTAAAAAAAAATTGATCTTCAAAAAAAAATTCACAAAAAATTTCTTTTTTCTGACTATATAATGGAATGGAAAGTTCTCTGAATCTGGCCATTAACTTGGGAGTGGCCAGCAATAATTCTTTAATATATGGCTCAAGCAGCTTACGACTTCCGGCCGTGGACCAAGTATCCCCTGGGTAGCCAAAAACTTCCTTTTGAAGGCGAGCTAAAGTGAGACGGCGAATCATCCCTTCGCAGTGGTATGTGCAGGGTTTGGGACATTTAACTTTTGTGAAGTTATTTTAAGCGTTTGACAACCAGTTTGAGCAAGCATCGGTCACATCAAATGCCTTTGAGCATTTACTTTTGAGCGTATTTTTCTTTCTATTAGTGAAGCTATCATTTATATTTTCCAATAAAGTAGTTATAAGTAGCTTTGAAATCACTAATTTAATTAAAAAGTAGCTTTGTAATGACAGAATTGCATTCGAAATTAAGAAAAAAATGTTTTTATCTCGACTGTGATTTGGCACCTTGACCTACCGAATAATAGTTTCGTACTCAAAACACTCCACATCACCGCTCATCGTTTGCCTAGTTACGCAATGCAAATTTGGTGCATTTCTAGGAAGACAAACAGAAAAGCTCCAACCATCCGAAATAATTCCGGGAATGCCTAAGGCGAGGTAAAGCTTACAGGCGTATCAAACAGGCGCCGCACTTTGTTAACGATGAATAAATATTTCTTACGCACTTGGCTCGCATGCCGCATGCCGCATGTCG